GGCCCTCTAAGTGGGAGAGGGTAGGGGTGGGCTCTTGTGGTGCTGCTGCTTTTTCCAGGACGCTAGGGTGAGGTAGGGTCCTGTCAGGGCAGGAGTGCGCTGCCAGGCTCCCTCCCCGGTGCGGCCCGTGAGGGGTTTGGGTGTGGAGCTTGAGCTTGGCGGCACCTGGTTCCTGTTGCTGTCATCTGAAGGTGGGGTGCGGTGTGCTCTCCTCTTCTCTCGGGGATGGCTCGGTTTGTCCCGCTTTGCTTTCCTCGGGTGGCATTAGCAGGACGGGTGGGGGCGGGAATCCATGGTGTGGTGACAGCGCGCCTTCCTGGAGACGCTCTAAAGCGACACTAGAATGTCAGTTGAAAATGCCGAAAGTAGAGGGATTTGTATATTTTATTAGTGCTTAAATGCTTGCAAACAACGTGGAGGCATACGCAGATTTACTCCAATATGCATACTACGAAGTATATTGGAGTAGAAGTACGAGGCTTGCATCATTTTGCATCCTTTCTGTGCTTAGATGTGCTATGCAGAAATCCTTGATTTTGAATTAGTGACTCGTTATATTACTATAAAAGCTATATTTTGATCTAGTATCTTTGTTATTAAGATAAGTGTAAAAGCATTTACAGATCCTTTGTCTGTTGTAGAACCACTTCTGCAGTTTTTTACTCATTTGGATTTGCTTAAAACAGTAAAATTATGCTTTTGTTCACTCAACCCACTCACACAGTTTTTCCTACCTCTGTTTTAAGTCTTCATAATGAAGTGGCTATTTTTTTCCACGTTTTGTTATTGTTGACTTTGTTGTCTAAATTTAATTGAGTTGGTTATGTGCCAAACTTTCTGTAGAATTTGTGTCTTTAAAAGATCCACCAATTTTTCAGCAGTGTACAAAAAGACTGGGGAAGAATTGATAATGTACATACTTTACAGGGGTTTTTTGACCATCACACTTGTACTTACTTTGCTTTGCATTTTATAATAATCCTACTAAATATTTTAATAAATCTGTATTTTGAATCCTACAGCTGTATGTAGAAAGATATATAAAGCTTATATACTCCTCTAAGTTTTGTAGTATGTCAATATATAAGCTGTTGAAAAGTAAAAGACAGATGCTGTGTTGGTACTCTCCTTGCTATTTTTGGTCTCACAGTTGGGTCTGTATCTGTGCAGAATTATATAGCAAGGTCAGATAATCCCATTTTCAGTGCCTAACATTTCTTTCAAAGCAGTTCCTTCAAACAGTGTCAGAACTAGCTTAGGAATGGATGCTTTCACCATATCATAGTTCTGTCTGTTTTAAATCAAGCCATTTAGTATTGAAACTGTGTTAAGTGACATAAACGTGGCAATATAAATGTGGGGGGTTTATTATTGTTAAGACTTTTTGGAATTCTGGTTTTGGTAAGCTAGTGTAGTTCCTTTAATGATAGCTTCTTTAAAGGAAAGCTGCAATCTTAAATCAGCAACAAAAAAAAAAAAAACCCGCATGAAACAAACAAAAAACCCAACCAACCAAAAAAAAATCCACAAGAAACCAAACAACCAAATTAAGACAAAACAGTGGTATGCTTTCTGTTGTTCAGGGTTCCAGCCATGTCTGACAAAAGTGAACTGAAGGCGGAGTTGGAGCGCAAGAAGCAACGATTAGCTCAAATCAGAGAGGAGAAGAAAAGAAAGGAGGAGGAAAGAAAGAAGAAAGAAGTAAGAAATAATTTTCTTTTTGAAATTTGCTTGTTAACTTGCCCAAAATTTAAGGGTAGGTTCACTTAAAAATCATTTGCTACATGTTATTCAGGGAGTGAACGATTGGGGTAATGATCTGTTTGATGATCAACCGTAACACTTCCGTTTTCTGATAAGAGCAAACACCTACTGTTTTCTTTAGAATTATCCATGTGGTAACTTAGATTTAAATTTATTTTTTAATCCAACGCTTGGATAAGGTTTTCATTTCTAGAACTACTTGTGCATGAGGGATATCATTAATCACTGTAAAGTGTTGCACAAAAGCTTTGCTTAATGAGTTTCAAAGGTGTTAGAGAACATATTTCTGAAGTGCAGTTCCAAGGTCGTCCATAGGAATTGCCTGACCATTGGTATTATTATTCTATAAACAATGTGCTAAATTCTTCTGCTCTTTGACTTGTCTTTAGTCTGAATTTTAAAATCAGAGCAACACTCAGGATGTATATGCTACTTGTGTGTTGGACTTGATTTGTTAACAATCTTCTGGCTTTCCCTCTGCTAAAGTATGTGACAATCAGTGATTTATTACTCTGTTTCTCCTGAATGCAGATTATGCCTTGTAAAAGAACTTTTGCTGGAATATTTTGGTGATTTGGGATACTTTTTCAAGACTTCTTTGTGTTTTGGTTATGATCTTATGTGTTCTACATCAGCACATGACTGAAGACTGGGCAGCTGCCAGCTACATGACTCAGACAAAATGGAGAGAGAAATATCTGAAGCTATGTTCAGCTGATCTTGAAACAATGTATTGCCTCTGAGATTCCACATGTGATGCAATAGCTTATCACAATCATCACTTTTACATCTTGCACGTATTTTCTTAATTGCTATGCACTTTAGTATGTGCTCTATCTAGCCAAGTGTCCTCCTACTTCCTTGACCAAAGAGGGGAGCCTCTTTACTGTCATTCTAACTCTACGATGTTTTCTTTGACACTGTTATTGTCATTTCAAAATCAGGACAATATGACTGTGTCTTTTAAATACTTTTAGACACAGGTACAGGATACATTTTCTTTCAATCTTTTAATTTTACAATGTTTGGCATTAGTGCGAAAGAGGTATTTTTGATCTTACGAAGTGTCAGTCATTCTGTCAAATGGGAAGACGCCTTTTGCATGTTATGTATGCCTTTTAAAGACAGTACCAAAGCTGCAGAATTCTGTCATTCCTGTCTGTTGCTTACTCTTACCTACAGAAAGGACCATCAGAATTATTAGAGTCAAATATCTAACTTGTATGATGATAGATTTCACTAGTATAAAAAAAAACCCATGAGATTTCAAAAAAGAAATGAGTATCTGTTAAATATTTCTTAAATGCTTTAATGTAATTATTAAATATCTGTTAAATGCTGTAACTTAATTATTGAATTATTTATAGACTGATCAGAAGAAAGAAGTTCTTCCTATACAAGAAGAATCTGATCTTGAAAAGAAAAGAAGAGAAGCTGAAGCATTACTTCAGAGCATGGGGTTGACACCTGAGTCTCCTGTTGGTAGGAATGTTAATATTTATTTGAGATAAATGTTTGGAGTTTTTTGGGGGTTGGGTTTTTTGGGTGTGGTTTTGGGGGGTGGTTGGTGGTTTGGTTTTGTTAGGATTGTGGTATTTATACAACTAGCATGAAAATTCTCTTGCCTTTTTTTTGGGGGTATACATGTCTGGGTTTTGTCCTGCAGGATCACTGTTATAAATCTTGAGTGATGTGCTTCAGTACACATTACTGTTCTGTAAAATACATGTTTTACACTTTGTGGATTATTTGGAGTCTTTTAAAATGTAGAAGCATGTATTTGTTGCTCTATTTTATTTTTTAATTTTATTTTCCCTGCATGTTATTCATCTGTATTTTTTCCTTTCTCTTTTTCATCATACCAAATTTTAATTATGATATTTTTGTGCACACTTGGCTTATTTCCTTTCTGCCTTTTTTGCACCCTAATTTTCCTTTCCTCAACCGGACTTCGATGGACTAATAGCAAGGCTAAATATCATCCTTGGTAGTTAAGTTTTATGGTTCATATCTCTGCTGCTCTTGGTTGGGTTAGCATATTGGATGCTGTGCCACTCTTGGATGGGTTGTTGCTTTTTTCCTTACATAGCCACATATTTCTGGAAGAGGAAATTGAAGAGGGTGATAATTCACTTCCACTTTTTGCCTCTAGCTCTCAAATCTAAGGGGTTTAAAACTTATTTTTCAGTTTGGCTCAATGATGAGTGTCTATTTGAACTCAGTTTGCAAATAAAAATAATAATTTGTTACAGATATGGTATATCTGTGACTGTATCTTCATAATTGCTTTTGCATAGTCCTCAAGTGTTCAAAAGTGAATGTGGTTTAAAAAGCATTATAGCTGCTCCCATTCTAACAACCACTGCAGTCATTTGTAGTAGCTTGAACTGTTCTCATGGTTTAGAGACTGCATTTGGGCTATGTTAGGACTAATGTACAGCGCTTTAAGTCATCAGGTCTTACCTGCTAGAGATTTTGTTTGTCAGACTGATAGTTAAACACTTTCTTGTGTGAGGTTGTGCTCAGGCAGCTGATGAGGCTCATTCAAAAATGGATGTGATTTTTGGTAGTGCCTTTTAAAATCTGTGAGGGAGAATCTAAAAACCACAGGATAGTCAAGTCATTGCATAGACTTAGCATACTGACATTAAAAGCTCTTTGAAGTGCTGGCGTGTAAGACTGGGAGTATTGTGTTTAATTCCATTGAGCGTCAACTTAACCATACATTATAACATACGTAGATTTGCAGGGAATTCATTCTGTTTTCTTTCAAGATACCCAGATCCAATATGGATCCTAAATCAAGTTAAAATGTCCTACTTGGTAGTCACAGTAGGATGCCTAGGCTTGGGCTTGTTCTGCTGACTGGATACTGGCCAAGTATGATAGTACAGAGATTGTATGCCTGAACTGAAGCTAACTCACAGCTGACCAGCTTGGTGTGCAGTTAACTTGAGTTCATGGTGTTGGTGTAGGTGGATAGCTTGAGATTAGATTCCTTCATAGCAATTTGTATTAAAAATTCCAAACACAATTCCTGTCCTGTTAACTGCTGGTGTGACGTAGCTCTCTTATGGGAGAGGGGGACTTAACAATGTCAGTATGCTTTTAATATCTGCCATAGTCCTTATATAAGAAGCCATAAGTTAGTGAACCAAAATCCATTTCCATCCTTCGTTGGGGTAGGTGGAATTTTACTTGGTCTTTTTGTAAGACTGTTGATCTTTAAATAGGTTTCACCTCACTAATGCTTTTCTTCAAAACGGTTTACCCCACGAGAGGGCACTGTAGCACCAAAACTAAGTTACTTGATTCTTTTGGCCGTTCTGCCTGACTTCTGTAAACGGTAACAAGATATGTTTCTAATGTCACTTGAATTAAGAGAGGTTGACATTAAAATGTCGTCGTTTCTGATAATGCACAAAAATAATGTGGGAATATAAAGGCCTGTCGGCATTTCCTTTAGTATAAGTTATTTGGTAGTGGTGATGATGCATTGAAGAAAATATATATATACACATTCATATATACACCCATATTTATATAAATAAACGTATAAAGTCTAACTATGTCTAAGAATAAATTTATTAAGTATAATTCTACATAAAAGTCTCTCTTGTAGGAGGAATGAATTTTCAGTAAATTAAAGAATTCACTGTGATTTTGTAAATTTTTAGGGTAGATTTTTTTTGTCAATCAGAGTCATGTCTCTGTTTTGGGATGGGATGGAAATGTGCTTCAGAATTCACAATGTACATGTGATTTTTGGAAATTCTCTAGAAATATTGCAGATCTAAATTCAGAATTCTCCCTTGCCTGACCCATAACAGAGCGGTTACCAATTTTTATACAGAACTTGTGTTTGGTTGATTAAAGGTGCATTTTAAGGGTTGCTGAGGAGTAAATGTGTTCTATGAACAGTTTTATTAAATAATGAGTTTCACTATTTCTAAAAAGAAAAGTTGGAAGAAATAACAAAATAGCTTTGTGTTTGCATCAGATTGCATTATATCATTCAGTATTATGTATCGGGACCAAAAAGCATGTTGCTTTTTAAATGGTAATTGCAGTCTTCATCTACATGCTGAAAATGAACTGACTGTCAGGAAAAAGTTTTAATATAATACTACTACATTTTTTTGTCAAGTAAAAAGAAAGAAAACACTGGAAACTTTGTTGTAACACACAGGATTTATGTTGATTTGATTTAAACTAGAACAATAGTAACAGTGTGCTATGTGATAAAGCCAGTTCTTTTGTACCACACTTCGGTGATTATATATTTAGAAGCAACATTACCAATTAAATTCATTCAGTGGCTAATTTGTAAGAAAAACTGATGTCAAAGCTGTATTAATAACTATCTTTCATTTATGTTTAAGCAACATAATTTAGTGGAAATTGCCCTTGGAAAATTGTTGCCATCATTTGTCAGAAGTGCAGTTTGAAAATATATTTTCAATTCATTTTCTCTTAACTGTCTTTCCCTCCATGTCTTTTTTTATGCTCAAAGTGCATAAATGCCAAACAACTGCATGAAAGTCCAGCATGAATTGTTAACATTGTCTTTTCCCCTCTCTTTCTACTGTTCATTTTCATCCATGTATATTTTGTTTGCCATCACTTTTTTTTTTTTTTAATACTTCATGTTAAATTAATTTGAAAACATCCTAAGCTGTGCAACCTCTGCGAATAGTAACAGCGGATACCTGTCTGTTTCACTATTTAGTCCCTCCTCCTACCTCTCCGTCTTCCAAATCTGTGAGTACACCAAGTGAGGCTGGAAGCCAGGACTCTGGTGATGGCGCTGTTGGATCTAGGTACGTCACTTTCCTTGTCGTATTCCTTTCCTTAGTACTCAAATTCTGAATAATTAAGCTTTAGAAGAAATCAAGGTTAATTACTTGATTATAATAACATGAGGTTACAGTGTTGAATCTGTGAACAGTAACTTTTACACAAGTCCTTTAAAATTTGAAATGCAACTACACTTGCTAATTTGAAATTGCCTGCATTAATGTGAAGTTTAAGCTTCCAAGTTAAAAGTGAGATGGGTCTGTCATGTAATGTTCTTATAAGCATGAATGTCTCAGGACAGTAGAAAATTGGAAAAGTCCAACTTCTGGGCTCTTCCCAGCTTTTTCTAAAGGAGAGTGTGTATGAATGATAGGCTGTTTCTTTTTTCCCTCTATTCTAGTTGGTCTAATAAAAGATACTGTCTACACACATTGCATTGCTTTTGATTTTAATTTCCCTACCCCTTACTCGGAACACTATTTCTCGTTATTTCACTTTGTAGTCATTGTTGTAACACAACTATACCACTCACAATCTCTCCCAAATGGCCAAAACACAGCACTGTATTAGTACAGCCACAGGACTATGGGTTTGGGTTTGTTTGTTGGTTTTTTTTTTCAGTTCCAGTACTTGCTACATCTATTTGACCAATTTTTTTGTGCAGTTTGAGTTTTACCTGCTCTAAGGAGTCAGATAAATATTTCCGTTCAACTAATTCAAAGTGGTGATATGGTGGTAAGGTGGTACACACTACTTCCAAATGGTATTTCTGTTGTTCTCCTGCACGGTCTGTGAATGAGAGCAGTTTTTGCCTATTAATATTGGTAATTTATATTTTCTCAGCCAATTCAGTTAACTTACTTAAAATTTACCGAGTGTGCATTGGGGTGAAGTTTATTAAAGCACAGTAACTAAAGCAGTTATCAGTTACTTCTCTGTTTATATGAGTAGTTGTTTTGGAGAAAGACTAAATACTTACACTGCTTTGAAACCTCTTTTAAAGAGACTACAGTTACATCTTGTAAGAGTGCGGATTATGCACACATAATTCTATACAACCTTAATCTGAAAACATCCAAGAGTTTAATGGCCTGAGCAAAGGTTACAAGGTGCATATTTTTAAGTTAAAATAGAGAGAATACTTTAGTCAGCAGATAGCAACCTAAGCTTTTTTTTTTTAATCATTTTAACAGTGCCCAGGTATGATCTTGTGCAAAGGTTATTCACTATGCAATTGAAGTTCACCTGTCATGTTAATAAAAAAGCAACATAATTGTTCCTTAACTAACAAGCAGATTTTAAATTGTTTGAAATCTGTGATTATTGCTTATTAAATTGTCATTTCATATTTAAATTCACTGTTTAGAAGAAAAAAATGCTTTATGATTATTTTTTTATAAAATAAAGAAAATCTTTCCATTCACACATGAATTCAATATGAAACAATATGTATAGGCCAAATATCTTGAATTGAACACCTTATTATGTACACTTCATAGGTGTGCTGTGCTCTCTGATTGTGTGTTCCTCAAGCTTAGTAACGTTATGTTTTAGGCATACATTTTCTTATGAAGACTTGAGGAAACTTGTAAGCCTCTATAGCTTCATGCATTTGCAAAGTTTAAAATTAAATTTGCCTATTGACAATTTCCCAGATGTGGAATCATAAAAAGATTGTGGTCTTGAAGGTGTGGAGGTCTGAATGTATAGCTAAATTGAAGGTGATATAGAGTCACTGTTAAAGTCCTTTTGCTTATTTTCTGACCACTAGATAACATTCTTCCCCTGAAGAACCTGAAAGTTAATGAGAAAAGTTGGAATGTGTGATATCCGTTAGCATTATACCTGGTATTTCACAGGTGACTTTCATGTCAATATGTGTTATAACACCCAAGCTGTTCCGCTATGCTTGATAATCTTAAAAAATTCTTCATATTAGTGCATTATTTCAGGTTTGGTTATTTTCTCTGGGCTGTAGCCATTTGTTCTCTTGTCATGCTGCAGCTATATTTTACAAAGATGATCTCCTTTGTTAGTGTAGTCTTGTCTCGTCTATGGTTTTGAATCTTGCCAGTAATTTGTTTAGTGATTAGTAGAGCAGTGTTCAGACTGTATTCCTGCTACTACTTCCATCTGTCTTGCTTTATTTTAATGAATTTTGGTACCCAGTTTGATGCTGTTCTTTCTCTCTTTTCCTCAGTTAAGAATATACATTTAAAACTGGAAATTAGTACAGTTGGTTTAGGTTAGATGGATGCTTCATAGAATTATTGTAAATGCAGAAAATCCTTTCTAGAGATACAGCCTGGATACAGAGAAGCTAGGGCATATATGAAAGAGTAGGAACTTCCGTTCACTGAAGCTTGTAGACAAATCCATTTAACTTAAGACGTAACAAACATGGAAAGCAAAAGGAACAGTACATAATTTTGGTACACATAGAATAGATGAATTTTACCTGGGAATGTTACCTTTATTTTAAAAGGATATCTCTGAGAAACATTTAACTGTATAACCTGTACTGCTTGTTGACTTAAATTATTTTAAAAGGCAGACTATCCCTAGTACCACCAAAGCAACTGTTGCAAGTTAAAGAAGTACTTTGAAAGCATGAAAGCTATCTCAGCAAGGGCTGTATATTAAGCAGGCACAAAATTTGGAGCGTTTTAAATTCATAGTCTTTTCCTCAAGTTTCTCTTAAGTGGGTTTGAAAAAGTTGAGAAAATGTTTGTCAAATACTGCGCAGCATTTGGATCTGTAGATAAGTAGTCCTTTGCAGAAGCAACGTGAAGGTTGGAGTAGTTGTTTGGTGTTTTGGTTTGGGTTTTTTTGGTTGTTTTTTTTTATATATGACGGAACAACACATAAGCAATATCCAGCTTGAAATCTCAGACACCAGATTAAACTCCAAGCTTAAACCTATTTGGTCAAGAAAAATAGTAGAGACCTAAAGAATAAGTATACCCAAAGTAATTAACTTTATGTTAAATAGAGTGTTTTCTGATGCACAAAAGATACGGAAGGGTATTACAGATTTAGGTACTAAGCTGTTGTCGTGGATGTAGTAGCAGTTTTGTAGAATTATTTGCCAAATATGAAGACATGGATTTGTGATTCTTAATTAAACTGTGACTAAGTATTTTAATGCATACTTCCTACAAGGACAAGGTAGTGCATGGTACACCCATAGTTCTATGGCGTTGCCTGTATGCTTTTGAGATCAACTTTATCTTTGGAATTCTGCACTTGGTTTATAAGAACATTACCATGTATGGGAATGAAATGTAGAATTACATTTTATTGACTAATCATAGCAAAATATTATGTATTTTTTTATTTGTTATAAACCATTATTTTTAGAAAAATATAATAGCATCTAAGCACTTCAGAAAACCCATGTGTTCATCTGTTAATCTCTCACAGAATCTTGTTTTTAAAATCTCTCTAAGCCTGATAGCAGGCAGTAGACTAAATGAAAATGTGTGGAGAAGGGATGAAGGCTAAAAATGAAGAGGGAGGGAAGACTTATTTCCCCCTCCATATTTCTTCTGATCAAAAGTGACTCGAAATGGATCTGTTCTGTTCATTACAATACATGACTTTGAAACGTATTAGTAATACAAAGCCCACTATTTCTAAGTGATTTAAATACCTTAAATGGAGTTGGCTCTAAATCAGATGACACTTACAAGCCCAAGGCAGTGCTTAACCCATAATTACTGCGGTGTCACATCTTGGAAACTCTAGCACTTCTCTATCCCAGTGGAAGTACATTTTTGCCCTGCTACCACAAGGCTTATGTGTTGATTCATTTCCTTTACCAATATGACAGTTTCCTCCACATATTTACTGCTCTGGGCAATATTGCATTACATTAACAAATCTGCCTTCCTATGACATGAACAAATCTGAACAGATTCTAAAAGGAATTCAGAGAAAGTTTTTAATGGTTCTTGTCAGTATTAAAAATATTTTTTATTTGGCTCTCATAAATGCTACATGTGTTTGCAGATCTTCAACTTCCAATCTTTTTAAAATAATTTATTTCTTTTCTAATAGCTCTGAATTCTGTGTTTGCTTTTTAACTTTTGTATTTACTGCATGTGTTATTGCACTGAATGTTTGCTGAATTTCCCTTAACTGATGTTACATTGCTTTGTTTCTTGTGAACAATGAAATAACTATAAGCTTACTGTAACTCTAGCATTTCATAGTGTGTATTTGCTTCACTAATCTCTGGCCTTTTTTGCTAATGCTGCATGATTGTTCAACCTGGGGTATCAGGACGCTGCATTGGGATACTGATCCATCAGTTCTTCAGCTCCACTCTGATTCCGATCTGGGGTATTGCATAGATTTCTTATATTCCCTCTTTCTTGTACTTATGGCTAATAAGACCTTTTTTTTTTTTCTTTAAGACTTAAGTTGTTGTGAAAAGACTGTTCTGTAAGTAACAGAAATTCACTATCCCTAAACCTAGTGCAGTTTGCTTGCACTGGGAAAGTTTTACTTAATATACGTAAGATGCATATTTCTAATAACAGAACTTACTTATTTGTGCCTTTCTTGAGTCTGTCTTTGGTAAAATATAAACTTGAAGGTGTAATTTCTTTAAAATAAAAAACCCTTAGAATAACTGTATTTTCAAAACAGAGTAGCTCCCATTTTTTCTTATGTTTATAAAAGCTGCAGCACATTATAAGCACTTACTAAAACCTATATTGTGCTAGAAGAATTATGATTCTGCCCATCAAAACATTTCAAAAGGGGTTACTCTTCTTTTCATTTGCGTTTATCTAAGGAGAGGGATGGATAATAAGAAATTATATTTCATATAGGTAAATTGGTTTTGGAACATTGCAGCATTACTACAATGCATACTGAAATTAGCTTTTATAGGAAACTACAGTGACTGAATTAATGTGTGGGTTTTGGAAGTTTATAGGATCTTCCATAAGCTAAAGTCAGAAAGCTCAGACATTTTCAGTGTCTTAGATTCTGAAGTAATGTTTTACAGTTAAATCACTTGTCAGTATGTGAGACTCGGATCAGATTTGCAGTTCTGCATTCAAAATAGTATCTTAGATGAAGACAGAAATGGGCAGCAAAGTTAAAAGGACTGAAAAATGCTTTTTCCTTCAGAATGCCTAAGCTGTTTTTTAAGCTTTAGAATCCTAGGACTGTTTCTGTACAAATGTGACTCGTAAGCAGATCTGTGCCACTGACAATAGGGATGTCATACATGTAGCAGTATCCTAGTCAATCACAAAGAACAAAACTTTAAAATTACATCCTGTAAGCCAGATATTTATATATATGCACATCTTCCTTTTTGTTGCAGATGTATAAATAGCTGCTGATTTTAAATAATAATGATAAAATATTAGTCATAGTTACGTGACTTCTTCAGAGTTAAATTTCCACTGGATTTTGGCTAAGCAGTGCTGTGACATGGTGACTTGGGTATTCTTTTAGGCAAAATGTGAATTGATTCATAAATGTTGAATGTTTTTTCTGATTTCTCTATTAACTTCATTTAGACGTGGACCTGTTAAGCTTGGAATGGCCAAAATTACACAAGTTGACTTTCCTCCTCGAGAAGTTGTTACATATACAAAGGAGACGCAAACACCTGTTATGACTCAGCCAAAGGAAGGTGAATACTGTTTTCCTGAGGGCCATCATCATTTTATGTATGCCTACTTCACAAAAGTCACTTACAGGTGCTTTTTCATCATTTCAGTGTCAAGGGTCGTCTTAAGGTCTGTCTTAAAGCTACCTAAACGCATTCATAATGGCTAACTTATTATTACCTAAGTTAATTTTTCTTTTATTACAATAATAACAGAATTAGAACCAGCACTTGTGATTTTGAAGCTTAAGAAGGTAAATAAAAGGTTGATATGCAAGACAATTGATATAAATTCTATTACTAAATTTATCTAAGTCTTGCTTAAGTGTTACTGTCATTCTGCATATTGTTTAACATTACTTTTATTACTAATACGTGGTATTTTCTCACTCCTAGTAAATGTTCAGATAAGACAGAGTTGCTTAATTAGCTGATATGATAAATAAGTGGGATATATCCTTCAGTTATGACATCCCTAAGAATCCACACATAAGTTACTTGAAGGTAACTCAGCAGTCAACCCCACACACTTTTTAAGAATTTGAATTTTTATACTTGGAACTTACACACTGAGTTTTAAAAGAAGAAACTAATGTCTTTATTAAACTGTGCCATTTCTGTTCTCAGCAACTGAACACAAGCTTTCTTTCAGTCATGACTTGTTTGCTTTTTGGAAAAGAAATTTTTCCAAAGAAAATGTAGCTGGATAATAAATTTAGTTTTAATGTTGAAACACCTGAATTTCGCTGCAGATAACAAAACTAATCTTGACCTAGTTTGTATGTAGTTTTACAACAAAATGTCTTAGTTATTTAATATGACTGACTTTGAGTATGTGTCTTTGCTAGCAGTTCTAGGACTTAATTCTGCATTCGTAAGTTTTCATTTTCCTACTCTTTAGTATGTGAACTTTTGGGTGTTTATACAAGGAGATAAAAGCACTTCTTAAAACATGAAGATTCAACTGGAATCATATGCTGTTTTTTCCAGAAAGCTGTATAATTTACTTGAAAGTGTAATGCAAGTGATGCGGAGTGTGAAGTGGAATACAAGTGAGGCAGAGTTCTTGCTCCAGTCTACATCAATATGCTGCTCTTGTCTGGGGTGTGTCTTGAGGTCACTTTGCAAGTTTAGCTATATGCAAATGACACTATGAAAGAGTTGGCAGGCAAAGGGGAGGAAGGAAGAGAAAGTAAATTGCAACAACACTCTGTTGAGAAGTTTCTTTTGTTACCTATGGATATCCAGTATAAGGGATTGGTGTGTCTTCAGAGCACAAACCAGATGTTTTAAACTTCGTTATTCAGTGAGCCAGAAAAGCAGAGGTTCTGCTTTTTCTCCAACTGTGCTTCATTTCCATTCTTCATTTTATCTGTATCCATGCACAGATGATAAGCATTTGGGGTTTTCCTGCTTTCATTTTTCCCATGCCCTTACCTTTACCTTTCTCTATTCCCTCAGGACTTTTTCCTCCTCTCTATCTATGGGATCTGAAGACTTAGTTCATAATTTATGTGCTTGAAGAGTTTTACTACTGCTGCCTGCTGTCAGTGGAAATTGCCTGGGATTGTATGGTCTTAGTTTCATACTCCTTAGATAGACTGTAGTTGAGGTTTACTGGAGTGGAGTGGGAAAGATGGGTCATCTACATTTCTGCATTGACCAGAAAGCTCTCTCAATATAGATGTTGTGTCCTGATCCATTCCACCTTAAAAATAATACTGTTTTCTTGAGGGCTGTCATCATTTTATGTATATGTTCTTCACAAAAGTAACTTAAAGATGCTTTTTCATCATTTCAGTGTCAAGGGTCTTCTTAAGGTCTGTCTTAAAGCTACCTAAATACATTAATAATTAATCTCTGTGTTCACAATTTATGATGACAGCTGAACTGGGACATAGGTTTTCTTAAGGAAAACAATCATCCTGCCTCAAAAAAAAAAAAGAATCACTAGGTGAGAAATCTGGTTTTGGGAAGAAAATTTTGGACTCTTTAAAACAATTGACAAAAGCAATATGCTGAATTTTCACAGTGCAGTTAGACAAACTTAAATCGGATATATTCTATCTCATTGGTTGTTATTTTTTTCTCACAGTCTTAAGTTGATTTTTATTTGTTTTAGTGAGTATACTGTAAACTAGAGAAAACCTTACAAAGTACACTTGAAAGTTGAGCTTCCAGCTGAGTTTACGTATACAATTAATATTCACTAGCTCCCTTGTACAGCAACAAGTGTCATCTCAGCTAGGTTAGATCCAGTGTTCACGCTTTCTTAGAAAATGAAGTGGACTGGACCTTTCTTAATTATCATATCTTGAGGTGTTAAAATGCTGTTGGAGCTGTGCTTTTGAACAAAGGAAAACAGAAGCAGTTTTATTAGATATGCTGTGCGGTTATTCTGCACGTTTAGGCCCCCTTGTGTTGTAGGTTGAATCCTGCCAACACTGATTGGGAGCAGACAACATGGAACCAAACAAAAAATGACAAAATACCAAACTAAACCAAAACCAGTCCTCTTTGTTCCACTTCTGTGTGCCACAATGGTTATGTAGTTATATTGTAAGATGAATTGGTAAACAGTCAGACTACAGCTGATCTGACTGGTGGGACAGATAGATAGGAAGTAGGTGTAAACTCATTTCAAACTGAACAGTTCCTAATTGTCATGGAAATACGGCAACACAAATGATGTGAGTTACATAGAGGAGATTTCATGTCCTCAATTTAAAATTGGCCTTTGGAAATGCCCATTTTGATTAAGTGTAACAAACAGTTAAATAATGAGTACATTTTAAAATGTGAAGGCCACTTATCTCACAAGTTAATAGAGAAGACTGCATTCAGTAGTTGCGAAAATTTCGTAGTTAGAGAAGGGAGATAGACTAAGTTTATATGTTCATGCTTCTGTATAGTGCAGATGTGTGGCACCGTCCTAGACAATATTCAAATATGAAGTAACTCCCCCCCATTATCATGCAGATACCAGGTTTCTCAACTGCAACTGTTTTGAGCCAGTGATCCTTTCCATTTGTAATGAAAGAATGCCTAGTTTGCACACAGCCCTAGAAGCCAGAGCTAGAATGTGACCTCATTGCTACTGGCACTATAGCCTCTTCATGCTAAGACAGAAAGTATCACTGCTGGAATTATGACTTTTCTACATTTCTTCACCCCTACCCCTTTGAAGTATTGTATCCGAAGTAGCAGGTAGTTTTGTCTTTCTCTTATTCAATGTGCAGCTCTTAATTTTGAAATGTAACAACTTCTTTAGGAAACGGAGGCATTTAAGCATGCTAACAGTTCTCTCAACTTCCATTGTTTTATTGCAGTACTGCAATTGTTGATTTATTATGACCTCAAAGTATTTGAGAAACTGTCTGTCTTAGGAATATTGATTACTTTTATAATATTGTAAAACAATAAAGTCAAGATCTCTCCTAGAAATCAGTTTCACTCTGTGAAACTAAGTATTTTACCACAGGAAGCCACTCACTGCATTTTCAATAGTACAGAATATTAAATTTCCCCATTATCATAGAATCACAGAATGGTTTGGGTTGGAAAGTATCTTAAGATCATCTAGTTCCAACACCCCTGCTGTGGGCGGGGACACCTCACCCTAGACCATGTTGCCCAATTGAAGTTAATAAACAGATTTCACAGTTCTTAGAGGAAGATGCCCACAGCCAAAGTAGTCTTAGAAGGTAAATCTGCAATACTTGTTTTACGGGCTTTTGTGTGCTGGGTGTAACCCACAGCTGCCCTTTCCTCAAGTTCCCATGTATGCAAGTGTCCAAGGAGAACCATAGTAAGAAATGGTGTGGGAGTAGCAGTCTTGGTGCTCTCAAACATCTTGCTTTGATGAAAATACTGACACATGTCTGTCTTCAGTACTTTTTTTTTCTTTCACACCTATGTGGATTTTTGTTTCTCCAGAATTTTGAATAGCCCTAGTCTTCTAACTCCACTGCTCTGTAGCAGCTGTATTTATTATGGGGGGAAAAAAGCCAATCATGAAATGGTTCCCCGCTCAGAGGAATATAGCAGAGAAGTTTTTGTCATTCTGTTACACAGTAACTATGGCCATCTTTATTTTTTTATTTTTTTATTTTTGCTTAGGGACAAAATAACTAAATAACTTCATTTTGGCTTGGTAAATGTGTTGTGCTATACTTAGTGCTCTTCCCCCTTACTTCTTAACTAATAAGCCTAAGTGTGTGTCTCTACGCCATTACTACACTTTAACTTTTGTCACCATCATAATATGAACATCCTGTGTTTAAGGTGCCCCATTCCCCAGCATCCTTGTTTTGCCATCCCCTTTTCTACTCTCTAAATCCATTTCTCGCTTCCCGTGGTGCTGTGTGTAACACTGCTGCTTACTTCCCTCGTTGTCCAATTTTGGTGGACATGTTTTTTTAGTTAGTGTGGGTCAGCTGGTTATTAGGGCTGTTATTTGGCCTCTATTTGGTGTTCTCTGTCAGGCAGCAGATTTTCAGATCTGCTCTCTGAAAATACATTTGAAATTGTGTTCCCTTCATACACTTATTTCTTTCTAGCAGGCAGCAGAAGCAGTTTCAGCAACAGAGATGCAATTCAGATGTGAACTCTGGTACATGTCTTAATGTTCTGCAGGCTCCATGTTGGCCACCCCACAGAGTACTATAATCATTGGTGATAAATCTTTCTTTTCTTATCTATAGTTCTTGCTACACCGTTTCTCGTATACTGTTTGATCTTTTCCTTTGTGATTTGCTAACATACTGTTCAGATTCTTATGGAAAGAAATTAGTTGCCTGTATGCCCAAAAAAGATGTGTTATGAGTTCTTGTAGTTGATCCAAAGAAAGGTAGGCATATAGGGGAATATGACTCTGCCCAGCTGTCACAATTAGGGCTTTTCCTGGGCTAATGGGATACTTGTTATTTAGTGCTGCTTAGCAATATTGTGTTTGTATGATCACAGCTAACTGCAGACAGTATTACTGCATTAGCTCCACTCTGAGGAATTATTGTCTCCAAGACACAGAATGAAAATATTAAGCATTTTTGTCCATCTAATTCTGACTTGGAGTAATAACAATTTACTGCATAGGATTGGCTTTTTGGATGCTGTTACAGTGAATGCAGCATTTTTACATTTTAATATTTTAAAAAGAAATAGCGGACCCTTATATGTTCATGTTTTATCCTGTACATGCCTTAAATGTGCAGTGAAATATAGACGGGAAAACTTGATATGAAGACATTTGGCTTAACAAAACCCACTCATTTCACAGATGATTTAACTTTGATTAACCTACTCTGCAGCAACAGATTACTCAGACAACTGGAACTTCACTTTATAGTGTTATTGCTAGGTGCAGCCTAATTTACAGCACCGCTTTTCTTTCTGTCTTGCCAAAATACATCACAATTTTGATGTTAACTCAAAGTAAAAATTCAGTGGCTCATTAAATTCGTTTTTAGTCTTCATTGACAAGAAATGTGTAGCTATTAAAGTAGCTGCTATTTTCATGCAGTCTTTACTACGCAGTTTGTAACCTTAGATCCCCTGTTCGCCTGTCAGAAATATGGAGTTAATCCCTTAGCATATTATAATGAATATTCATCAGTATGTTGATGTGACATAGAGTCCCATTTCCTGTCTTCATGGCCCTACTGTGACTTAGTTCTAAATCTTACAGCCTTTTTTTAATAGTGAAATTGTATTTGGGATACTCATGAATGAAGTCGCATAAAATTCCAGTAAGTACAGTTAATAATGAATAAAGAGGATGAACCTTTAAGGTTTCCAGATGCTGTCTTGGAACAATTGCAGTACACCACTGTATCATGTGTTCTTGACTTACTAATGTGGAACATTTCAGAAATAGTATGTCCAATCTTTCAGTGTTTGCTAGGTAATATATTATTGTTCTGCCAATTCCTTGCACATACCAGCACCTGGCCTGTTATTAAATAAATTCAAGGTAAAGGAAAGACAAGAGAAGTAATTAAAACAAAAAATTCTTCCCTCTTTTGTTGTCCAGCAGCTTCATGCTGCCTTTTTTGATTGTAAAGTTCCATGAGAAAGCATCCTAGTTTTGGATAATGAGGTCAAGATCTTGTACGTGTGGGTTTTTTTGTTTTGTGTTGGGTTTTGTTTGTTTTTTCATTGTGTTGGTGGGTTGGTTTTTTTCCCCCAGATCCCTTAATGAGAAAGTTTGCATTTGACTTCTCTTTAGAGAGAAGGTTTTCGATTTGTGTAGTTACAGATAAATTTGTAAGATGACATGTTTCGATTTCAAGCCTGATACTTTGAGAATATTAAAATAAGTGCTGTATCCTGCATTTAAATGCAGTAATATCAGCTGGCTGTGTGTAGTGAAAGTACTATGAAGGAATTTAGAGCTCTATAATATATGCCATTTATGTTTCAACATTAAAAGGCAGGAGCAATCAACTATATGATCTTCTGAATAAAATATGTAGATTAGAAGGTCACGTAGCACTAAGGGGTTGACCATCTGCATTTGACAAGAATTTGACTCCTGTCACTGAAAATGGTACTTAGAATCAGTGTAGTATGACTAATGGGAAGTTGGGCTGAAATTTCTAATTTGGGACTTTCAAAGCTAGAATAATGTAACCAGGGTGACCCAAAATTGAATTTCTGGATTTGAAGGCATAGTTTCAATCTGCAGGATTGATTGGCAGGGTGAACAAGAGGGGGATTTTTATCCAAGTAGCTGTAATGTGAATATGTGCTGCTGTATTTGTTATTCTCAAAATGTGTTAACTCATATTACGTTTTTCAATTAATTGGTGTCCACACCTATAGTGATTTGACATTAAGAATTCCATTCTTTAGCATTGCTACAAGTTACACAGTTTTCAGATTACCGTCCACTGTACATGAGAATCCATCTAAAAAGGAGCAGTGTCTTTCCCTGTGTGATTATTTTGCCCAAAAAAGCTTTCATTTTTTTTAAGTAGCACAAAAGCTGTAATTGGCATGCTTTGTAAGGAAGTGTCAATGTGCAAGAGAGTGGAGATCACTAAGAATTCTTTTACGCGTTCTTTCCCCTTTGCACCACCGCCTCCTCAGCAGGGTCACTGAGATCACTAGCTTTTCTTGAAATGGCCATTTTCACTGGCAGGTGCATTATACCCTGTATTTTCAGATTGTTTTTCCATTCTGAATGTTTGGCAGGTTGATTGCTCTGGCTGCATTGACGGAGAAAGGGCTGACAAATGCAGTTGGGCTGGCTGAAAAGACAGTGATTACTGTTTTCCTTTGTGGCTGATTGAGGCCCTTGAAAGGAAAGATTTTAACCTTCACCATTTGGTTCAAAAGTATGAGCATATATTGAAATCATTCATGCCATTTATCCTAGTTCTGTAAACTTGTCAGAACGTAAAAATCGCTCAATTTCAAGTAATGTAGGATTGGCATACGTCATTATCATTTTGATTAAGTTGGAGTTTGTATTATTGTGTGCATTATACAGTGTCATTTAAAGCTTTCTTTCCTGCAGGTACAGTTATATTTTTATTGCCTATACTATGGAGTTAGAAAGATTTTCAGACCTCTTTAAACCTATCACTATGTGTGTGGTTTGGCAGCTGGTATGGCCTACAAGCTGTATTTTGTTTGTAGGGTAAAGGCTTGTCTGTAGACCTCCTGGAGTGCTGGTAATTGCACAGGCTTGCCAATGGGGAAAGACATGATTGGAAGCAGTCAGGCAGAAAAATGTTGTGCCATCCCATTGCCACCTCCTAGCAGAGACACAATCCTAGCAGTGCCATCTGGTTGTTGCTATCTAGTCAGCTGGCCTGGCTGCTGGGACCATGGCTTGGCAGCTGGTTCCCATCCTTTGACCACCCCTTTTTTTCTTTCCCCTTTTTTTTTGTGTGTGTGCATGTGGATTTTTTTTTTTTTTTTTTTTTTGCCTTTTTTGTTAGATAACTTTGAACATGGGTCAGGGAGATGGCTGTAACAAACAAGCCTAGTCCCTGTTGAATACTGTCTCATTACTTGTGATAAGGCATGCAGCAGACTCCTGCTGCCATTCCCTTATAAACAGATGACATAGCTGTTTAACCAATAAAAATAGTCTTTTCAGAAGCTTACCCCAGAAGGTGGGTGAAGAAAAGCCAGGAAATGCATATTCCACAACACTAAGTAATTTAAAGTTATTTTCTGGTTTACAGTACTCAAAGAATAAAATGTAGAAATGCAGAAAGTGCTGTAAACCTTGTCAGTATTCCTGAACATTAACATTTTATGTTATTCATTGCAATTAGGGAAAACACATTTTACTGTAAAGTTCTCATTGCCAAACATGATACAGATAATGAGACTTGCATTTAGAATGACAGAAAAAATGTAATCTCCCTGCTATTATCTTTAGCAAAATTTGCCTCTCAGAATAGCAACCTGAAAGCTAATGTAAGCTATCTTCATGCCATGTGAAGACCCATTAGACTCTGATGGTTTCAGATCAAAAGTAAGCAGCTGCTCTGTAGTCTATTTTAGACATTTGATTTTTCTTTATTCTGCAGCATTAATGTGTCAGTATGTTACACAGAACATGCATCCACCACATGGTTTTGTATGGAGTCATAAATGCTGTAAGAGAGATTTCCACTTTGGATTCTTTACAATTTCTTATGTGTCTTATTTCAGTTTATACAACTACATAATTTAGTGCAACTAAAACCTACGTGTAGACAGCATTCCAGTGATCTTTTGGTTTGAGATATTGTTATCCTGGGGACTACATTTTACAAATATAACCATTTTGAGCTAAGTGATACCATTTTACATCAGTTTGTTTGAGATTCATCTGGAATGTTACTGTTCCTCTTTAAAAACATTGACAGTCTCACCATAATGTTTCTCCTTAGATGAGGAAGATGAAGATGATGTGGTTGCACCAAAACCATTAGTTGAACCTGAGGAAGAAAAAACATTAAAAAAAGAGGAGGAGGAGGAAGGTACAGTTCACCTCAAGACATCCTGAGTGTGCTGTAAAGAAATGCATCAATAAGTGTTTTACTTTATTTTTCCCATTAAGTTGAAATTAATTTGATTTATGTTGCAACAATCAGCTAGCAAGATATAAAATATAAAAATGTATTTAAAATCTGTGGAGGTTTGGGAACAAATTTTCCAGCATCATGATGAATACTCTTGAATGGTTTTCTCTTTCTTGGAAAGAACTGGTGAAAGCACACAGTCCAGAGAATGTTTGTGTAATTCTATTCCAGCTGCCCCTCATGAACTGACAGAAGAGGAAAAACAACAAATTTTGCATTCTGAAGAATTTTTAAGTTTCTTTGACCACTCCACAAGGATTGTCGAAAGAGCCCTTTCTGAGCAAATCAACATCTTCTTTGACTACAGCGGAAGAGACTTAGAAGACAAAGAAGGGTAACGTGAACGTTGAATACTTTGCTGTGAATGTCCAATATTTGTAATTGAGAAAGTGATCTAAGATTAATATCTGCTAATTTGCCTTTATAGAGAGATTCAAGCTGGAGCAAAACTGTCCTTAAATAGGCAGTTTTTTGATGAACGTTGGTCAAAGCATCGTGTTGTCAGTTGTTTGGACTGGTCATCTCAGGTAAGTTAAGCAGTTACCTTGGTAAATTCTTCTAGTTCTGCACACTTGCCCCCTCTATAAGCACAGCTGATACAGGCTGTATTTTGAAAGGTGTTCCTTATAGGCTCTGCAATTTTCAAAAAGTAAACAGAGCTGTTAATCTTTTGTGAAAAGCAGCAAAAGGTTTGTATTGTGAAGAAAGTCTTTGGCATATTTGTTTCTGGTTTTGTGGACTACTTTGTAGAGGTAACTGTTGCCTCGCTAAAAAAAGGTCACTTAAAAGTACTGTCTTTTACATTTAAAAGCGAGTTATGATGGAAGACAGAACAAGACCCTAATGTGTATATTTTTTTAATGAGCTAAATTTGAAAAAATTACAGTTTTAACTGACAATTTTTCATTTATCTGTAATATAAGGTGGCTTTTGGGTTTTGATGGGGTTTTTTAACCCTATTTTGGCAAAAGAGAACAAAGGTTCTAGGATTGTCTGGACTATTAGCTGGTTATCTCACTTACTTTGAGATTTTTTTTAACTTCTACAGTACCCAGAATTACTTGTAGCTTCTTACAACAACAATGAGGATGCACCTCATGAGCCTGATGGGGTGGCCCTTGTATGGAACATGAAGTACAAGAAAACTACCCCAGAGTATGTCTTTCACTGCCAGGTATGATTCTGTCTCGGGAGGCTAAAGATTTTATGTTGATGAACTTGGACAAGTACCTTCCTTACGCATGTCAACATAATGATTTCATTGGGCTGGCATTCACTTTAACCGCATGTATTTGCAAACAGATGTTGATAGCTAGAGATTTCAGTTACAAAACATTATTCTGTTTCAGAATTTCTGACATCATTCAGGATTCAGTCTGGTTTGAGAACTCATTTTCTTATTTTAATTTGTTTAAAAGAACAAGAAAACCTTCTTGTGCAATGGTTGAACCACAAAGAAGGTTTGTATTTAAGGGGATTGAGTAGGATTGTGTACTACTAGAGCTTAGTTTACTGAATGAAATGAAATTAAGATGGCCTGAAGAGATGGAGCAAGGATGAAAACTAGAAACATATGCATCAAGAAAAAGGCAAAGGGAGGTTTTCTAGTAGTTTTCTGAAAGGTAAAAACATGCAAATCTCTTCCATTATGCCAAGCCTGGAATAGCCACTTTATTTTCAAAATGCCATAATTCTGGAAAATTACATAGTTGAATCAAAATTTAATCTCGTGTTGTCAGATTACTGTCAAAGCCCAGGTTGAAAAAGTAACATTATTGTATCAAAATGGATTTGTACCTTCTCTAAGAAAACGACCACAGAATGTGGCAAAATGTTATTAAAGTCTTGTGCGTTACTGGGCCTTCCCTTGCTAACAAACTATGCCAGGAGGAACACAAATGTAGACATATGGAAGAAAAAGAAGAGGAAAAAATTTTATAAATACAAATTAAAACTAAAGGGCTGTTGAGGGTTCACAAAGTGTTTGTGAATCCTTAAGTATCTGGACAGTGAAATAGTATATCAGGTAATCTAAGCAAATTACTTACTCTGATATTTGGTTCTGTTTTCTTTAGTTTTAGACATAGTGTTGTTCCAGGATAGCATTTTGTGTATTTTGTTGTTTGTTTTCTTTTCAGTCAGCGGTGATGTCAGCTACCTTTGCAAAATTTCATCCCAATCTGGTGGTTGGTGGCACATACTCAGGCCAAATAGTGCTGTGGGATAATCGCAGCAATAAGAGAACCCCAGTGCAGAGAACTCCACTTTCAGCTGCTGCTCACACGGTAGGGGGTGAAATATCTTCAAGGACTGTTCCCTGTTGAGATGTAGTTAACCTATAGGAAACTCTGTCCAGTGCACTTGATTGATAATGCTTACATGTTTATGTCCGTACTTTGCCAATGCTATCACTGAAGAACTGGGCTGTTCATAAAAATCGAAGTGTCAGAAAAACAAGTACTAGTTTTATAGGGGAGTAGTCTTTGTGCTGTACTGCAGTCAATCTTTTTGTGCTTCGTTAAATGGTGAAGTTGTATGTTTCACTGTTTATATTACACCAGAATTGGTTGTTACTTGGACATTCTTTTTTTCTGATAATATTTTACGTTTCTTAGCACCCAGTCTACTGTGTAAATGTTGTTGGGACACAGAATGCTCATAATTTGATTAGTATCTCAACTGATGGGAAAATATGCTCTTGGAGTCTGGACATGCTTTCCCAACCACAGGTAAGATAACTTTGTGTATATATATATATAGTTTTTATTCCTGGTGAATATTTTGTAAAACCTTAATGAATCTAAAAAGCATTAATAAACACTTTCCCAAAACACAGAATTATACTTGATGGCTCAGTAAGTATGTGATAAAATATTCCCCCACCACCAATGGAAATGTTTGGGTTTTTTTAAGTTAGTTG